GGCCTCTTGAGATAGAGATTTCTGAAAAACCCGTTTTTTCTAGAAGACCTAGTAATCTTAAAATTTCTTTCAGAAGTTTTTCAACTATATCATTGAATAGCTCTTCAATTCTCCACAAAATGGGATGCTGGCCACTTGTCTACGATCTTGGACGACCAAGTTACAGGTTTTCCAACATAACAAATATAAATTCATTCGCTTTAATGCCGTTTTCGAGCTGTATCGTATTTTCTATGGCACTTTTTGACACAAAATTGTGGAGAACTGAAGGGCTATCTGATGATGTGGTTGAAAAATTTTTGAAAGAAATTTTAAAATTACTGGATTTTCCAGAATATGAGGTTCTTCAGAAATCTCTGTCTCAAGTCACCTCACTCTTCTAGTATCTACCCTAAAAGTCTGAGCCTTACTGAGCTGGTTATGCAGGAGATAAAGTAGTAGCGGTAGCGGCATCTATTACTTGATATATAAAACGACCTCTAGAGTTTGAACTTGCACTGTTTTCTAGTCTGATCCAGGTTGTATTTGTGCTGAAAGTTTCGTGTCTCTAAGCCAAGCCGTTAGAAAATAACACACTTAAGATTGGTCCTAAACAAATAACAGTTTTTCTTAAAACTTGAATATCTCAATAACTACTTGAGTTGTGGAGTTGCGATTTGCCGCAAAAAAGTTAGTATTGATTGTACTTTTTTATGTAATTGAAATCAAGTTTGAAGACAGAAGATTGAGGACGGCTGGTCGTGGCTTATCTGCAATGGCTCTTAGAGAGAGTATATCATCCAAAATGCTTCTGTTTATCACATGGACGTAATTCAGTTTAAGAATCTTACCGATTTTAACCGTGGTTTCTGTTGCATTCATCACTGATGATGACGTTGAATTTGTTGATATTACCATCTCTGAATCATCTTCAGTTTGTTCTTCTGCGTTATCTGCATTGAAACATGACTCTTTTAACTGCGGTGCTAACTCCATGGCAGCTTTTAACACATGTGAGCAAATGTGTATTTGTTGCAAATTGTTATGTCTCACAATACTTACCTTGTTTATTTTTATTTCTTATATCCTGCAGTTTTTCCGATGGAATTATGATATTTTCTTTCTTCCCATCAATAATCTCAATCTGTTTTTGAAGAATCATACATGCCATATGAAAATCGCTATCGCTCGAGAAATCATCGACTGAACAAAATTATGTTTGCAGACGAGCTAGAACCGAAAAGTATTAGCTTAACTTACGTTTCAACTTTAGCTGATCTTCGTAACAACGTTTAACGACCGACAGTTTAAATTTGTTTAATAATCCTTGTGAAATAGGTAGATCTAACCTTGCAGCTACTAAGCGTGATAAAGTACTATCGTCCGGTATTTGCAGTTGCCTAACATCGTCAGTCGAGGTAATATTTTCATTTGAGTTAGGAAACTTGATCGATTTTTGTTGCTGAGCATTTATTGCTAAATATAAATAATAATTAAATAAACATTCAAGCAGAAGTGATGAAGTTATATCCGACAGATAATCACTATCTTTTGAAAACCGAGTTTTCATCTAGTTTGTTGTCTTCTGCTAAATTTCCTCTATTACGTTTAAGTTTTATATGTTTGTTAAACTAACTCTGATGTACTCGTTTCGATTGTTGAATCTTCTGATACAGATCATCGCCACACAATTGTTTTACATACAGACAATGTGGAAACCATCGTGCATGTTCAATCATTGGGTTATCTTTCTCACCCCAGTTTTGTAATGATCTACTGCAGTAAAAACAAGTTACAACTGTTTTTGTTCCAGAGTAAAAGAATCCAGCTTTCACCAAATCATCAACAGCAGGTAACGATTCATTCTGAGGCCATGTTACGTAAGTTGCATAACGCTTGTGTATTATGTATGACCGACGAAAAGCGGTTAGCCTGCATTCCCTGTGGTCATCTTTCAACTTGTGTCCCATGCGGTCACTCACTTCGGACTTGTCCGATCTGCCGACAAGAGATACAAGCATTTATCAGGATATATATATAAGATCAGCTCAACCTTCATTAAAAATAAGGTATTCCGTCAAAAAGTAGCGTAATCAAAACCAGAATACTTTTGAGTGAGCAACTTCGCTCAACTGTTGTTGTCTTGTTCCTAAGAAACTTGTTTTTAATGAAAGTGCAGAATGTCTTGTAACGAACCTTTTTGCCTATTTAATCATGAATTTTGAAGAACCCACATTGTGCCACGCCTATGACTTGCGTAATAAAGAGAATTAAATGAGTTATCTTTGACACTAGTCATCTTTAAAATACCTTTACCACTAAATGGTGCCATTTTACGAGTGGTGGTCAGTGGTAACTTCAGGTTACTTTTCACATTTTAATATCGTCTTTTTTTAAAACTACTACCGTTGAATATTTACAATAACGAAAAACTGTTTCTGTATGGTACGATGCACCTGTTCTTGTAAGCCAAAACACATCTAACACGCAAAGACATATCCAGCACATGAACATTCACATGCTCATTTATAGCGCAGTCTATAGTCTATAGACAGATTAGTTCATGCTATCGACACGCACGTGTTTTCCCATACGGGACGTTTTTTTCGATAAAAGCCAATGGCTATTGAAAACTGACTTTTATAGCCGGGATATAGTATGTGTGAGTTTATGTGTGCAAAAGTATAAATCCTATCAAACCTTTTCTCGAAGGCATCTGATAATGTTTACAGCGAACACAAAGCAACGATGTCAACCTGTCTGACAAGCTGTTTCATAAAGTCACGCTCGTCCACTATGATTGGTCGGACATGCAGCTACGTAAACAGCATTCTTTACAAACAAAAGCTTTCGGATGAGTTCAAATTTCTTCAAATCGGATGGATTTCAAATATTTAATGCTTTTTAAATACCGGAGTGTTTTCATCACTCATTTTTCGAATAACTAACCTCAAATAAAGGTAGAGCCTTACGATTTTCATCATTCGATAGACAAACCTCGAGGCTATCTTTCTATAAGCAAAGCCAAATTCAAATAGGAATCTATTGATTTTTTTGGGGACATATATGGTCTGAGGTATC